AAAGTGGCCACAATAGCGCATTTTTTTTTTATTTTTGTGGAAATGCGCTAATTACAAACAACTTGCTCAACACACCAATGCAGAGCATCATTCCAGTTCCACACCAAAGGTTTTTATCATTCAAGTCATACCGGTGAAGCTATCCTCGTCTAATAAAGAATCAAGAAGCAAGCAACAAATTAGCGTTTCTTTTTATTACTTATTGATTACTTATACAAGAAAAACGTTAATTTTGTAACGCGATTATGGTACAAGAAATGTACGGCTAACTTCATATCGTTCTATTTTTCACACAATCTGTAACATTTGTTATTATTTATGGTTAATGGGCGTTTGTTTAGCGGAAAAACGTTGTAACGGGAGCCCGCCAACGCATTTTTATTTGTTTTAAATTTGATCAGGTTTTTGGAATTTGGGTTATGCAAAAAATTGGGAATAGTATCAAGATAGGACATGCTTTTTCAAAATTTTGTTGTATTTTTTTTGGGCGAATGGTTTCTAAGTACTGTTCTGTCGAGCTAACTGCGTTTGAAAGTGGATTACAGTAGAATTACATGACGATCCTGCTGAACTAGATCCGCTTGTTATCGGTGTGCTGAATGGGGTGTTTCTGCCTATGCGGGAGAATTTTGAGTCAACGTGGACCAACTTTATATACATTGATATGGATTTCCGATTATTTGATTAGCTCGAAAAGGGGGGAGGTTGTTCGTTTCAAAATGGGCGTGAATAAGACGTTTAAGTAGTAGAAATTCGTGAGGCAATTTAGGACCAATCCGCAGAAGAGCTCGCGTTGAAGTGCGACAGAGAAAAAAAAATTAATTCTCAGCCGCAGGCAATGGGCGAAGTCACGAGTGCGTTCACGTTAAGCAGTGACAAAAAATTTAGTCACTCATCCTATAGATTACCACAAGGTGGTTTTTTGAACTTGTAACAGAATTCGTTAGAATTATTTACCTTACAAATTAGGAAAACCTAATTCGGAGTAGCCGGTCGAAACTGATCTAAGGTACTTTGGTACTAGCGTGTTGTGGTGCCGAGCGTTGCCTAACAAAATTGTCGATGGAACCGTGAACATGTTCAATATATTTGGAGTAACATTACTTAGCAACCTTTAAAGCGCTAAGGCCCGTTTCGCACCCGTCTTCTCTTTAAATCTGAAAATCAAAACCTGATGCTCTGATTTGATCGAAATCGAATAAATACGCATATAAACTGAATTGATTGATTATATTTATAGAAATAAAGTCGATCCATTTCCATTTTTTACATCTTCCTTATTTAAAAATATTAGTTCAATTTATTTCAAAAAATGCAACCCCTATCTCGTGATCACATATCAATGTTAGATTTGCCCCTCGTATAAACTTTCATTTTTTTGTACATAATAAATTCCTGCTACATTCTTCTATTCAAAATATTTACACACTCCTTAATGGTAAACAAGATTTGAATCCAACCAAAGGAATGGTATCACTAAAATTAAATACAATTTCCAACTAATGATGAAAAGCCTGTCCGGACTGGACAGGAGGGTTACCGAGATAAACTTTTGTATACTCAGAACTTATACAATTTTGTGTACAAATTGGCGAAGACCATTTCAC